CAATGTGAATTTTAAAATTATGATTTTATTTAAACCACATTGATTACAAAAACTTTTGTATTTGGCGCATAAATTTTTTACACTATTATAAAGCTTAAGCATTACTACCATCACCACCAACATTAAACCCAGGGGCAGAAGCCAGAGTTTCGTTTCGTAGGGCTTGTCTCCGGCGATACTGTCTTTTCCATTTACGATTTCGATATCTCGAATACACAACAAACGCGGCGCCAATTAAGATTATCACTCCGAATATCGACAAACCTATGGGAAGTACACCTAAACTTGACCCTGGCAATGGAGTTGATGAGGCATTTTGGTCTGCAGAATCTACCGGTATAGGTGAAGAGTTGGGTGAAGAATCGGGTGAATTTATATTTGTAATATTCGTAGGTGATGGCTGTTTCGGTGAGGAATCTGACGTAGTTGTGGCTGCAGCATCTTTAGGATCAGGAGATGGTCTGGGAACACTGGTTGGGGTTGGTTTTGAGGTTGGCTTTTGGTTATTAGCGGGATTGGTTGGTTTGGTGCTAGTGGGGACATCGGTTGAGGTTCTGGCCGGGGTATCAGTCGATGTTGCGTCCGGAGTATTTTTACTGGGGATATCGGTAGGTTTAGTGGGGTCGTTCGGCAAAGTTGTAGTGCGAGTATCGGGCTTATGCATTTTGCAGTCCTTAACAGGGTAAGATGAGCAGCCGCCCACAACAGGAGAAAATGGTTTAGATGGCAGATATTTTGGAAATGGCATGTTTGCAGCATCGTAATTGTTCTTAAGGTCGAACTCTAGTTTTAAATCAACAATAACCTTAAATTCTGAAGGGCTAAGCATCTTCGCCGATATCTTTTTATTCATTAATTCATTCGTTGGAATTTCGCCATGAACATAAAATTTTTGAATTAACAATCCGTTTTGTTTCCGAGAAAATGTAGGTAAAGCAGCAACATGGTAGAATCCAGAAGAATCAAGCTTTAGACGGGATCTTTTGAGAACTTTAACGTTGCATTCAGAAAATTTAAATGCTACGTATGAAGGCTTTTTTTTATACTTGTTCATAGAGTCTAATTTGAAAACTGTAAGTTCTCCAACAAACTTTCCAGTGATTTTATTAAACCATGAAATTTGGTAACAGACGTAAATTCCAGCGGGGTTCTTTATATCCCAATTGAATGATTCGCATCGGCATTGTGCAAAATTTATGCGCCAAATACAAAAGTTTTTGTAATCAATGTGGTTTAAATAAAATCATAATTTTAAAATTCACATTG